ACTGCTGCGTATAGCACTGCCCACTTTTTCTAAAACTATGTTCACATATCAATATTATCTCAATCAAAGCTCGTTTTTTAATCACCCCGTTTACACAGGCAAATCTCAGATTATTCGCCGTCAAATTTGTTGTGCTCGTTATTCTCACATCTCAAGGAAAAGTTATGTTTCTTCTCTGTGCCACCGTGATGACGTTTTTCTGCTATAATAAGCAATATAAATGTATTTTAACTTAACATTTTATTAAAAATACCTTTACAAACCTCTTTTACTTGCTAGCGTACATTTTTGTTTACTTTTACATTTGGCATTTCTCCTCTTTTTCGCAAAAACAATCGATAAAACTAGGATGGACACCGAAAAGTTATCGGTTAAATCTGAGATTATTTTATAATTACAGATTAACAAGGGACGAATTTTATATGGCTAATCTCTTGTTATAATTACAGATTAGGGTGTTAAGCTCGAAAATGCGGATAATCTACTTATATGTGAACCTAGTATAAATGAGGTATTACTTCATCTAAATGACATATATATATAAGTATATGCTAAATATCATACATCTGTATCAAATAGCTGGGAAGAAATGATGAATAGTGGTTTCCTCTTAACTGGGGGTGTGGCTCCGCCTTTTTCTCCAACGATAATATATACCCTCATATGCATATGAAATCTATATCTGCGTAAATAGTTCCGGATATATAACGTATTTCGATTTTTTTCCTGTATGGGACGTGGCACCGTCCATTTTTCCAAAATGATATACAGCTTGATTTATAAAGCACATAAGTATACCCAAATATCATTACTCCGCTCATAGTAATAGCGGGAACATTACGAATTAAAATGTGGCCTTATTTGGAGCCGTGGAACCGCCGATTTGTCCATTCTATAAATTCTATATAGCCTATGTTTCCCCCGGGCCACATGGACCTACAGGAAATATCTTATAAAGATCGGTTAAGCAATTTGGAGACCAATAAAAGTCACACACACGCACATTCATTTTTATACATACCCAATAAACATTGTGGGGAACGTTCGAAAATGAACTTCGATATCCAATACCAATATCGAACTGAGAACGAACTCATAAGCAACCTTTTCCAACGTTCATATTATATTGTAAACACACTCGAGATGGGTTCGAAAAAAATGAAAACCATAGTAACAAAACAGAAAGTGAAATCCTGCTCATTCTCGAAGTAAAATGTAAGAAAATCACTCTCTCTTATTAAAATTTCAATTCGATAATCGACTGGATTTCGAATTCACAACGAAGGGAAAATATATTGGATAAGGAAGGTTCACTTTGCTTGAGAAGGGCCTAGTTATCGGATCGAATACTAACCTACTCCGCATTCGTTATCGTAGGTGAGACTCGAAGAACAAATTAATTTTCCAAGCCCAATGTTTATTGGGTAAGGTGGTTACATATTATTTAGTTGTTTTGTTTTTCGAAAATTTATTTGAATAAAGATATTTTAAAAAACAACTTTCTTAAACTGAAAAGTAGACTAAAATCTCAACATTAACCAGGTTCCATGTCTGGCGCACACGATGTCTTAAAATTTATTTGATTTAATTTTATATAAGGGTATATATCAAACCTTATAAATGCATTATAAACCGTATAAACTCATAATTCTGTAAACTTTATAAATCAACTGTTATATATTTTAAATATTTATTTAAATGAACATTATCTCGTCTAAATATAATTGTTTCCCATTTAGTGAGGTCATTTCTTAAGTTTCTTAATCCTCGTGCTAGTAGTATACAATTACTGATACTGTGCTCAACAACCAAAGAAAACACGACTATAATCGCAACTCTAAACGAAAGGAGAGTATGGAGTGTTCATGTTCTTAAATTTGGGGCACCGAAATTGCGCATATGGAAACTGTGCATTTAGACATTATTTCGGTTGCAGCCGAAACTGTGCATGTATGCATTACTTCGCTTTTTTCCATATGCATTATTTCACTTTTAAAACGAATGTATGCATCAGTGCAGAAAAAAATTATCAACTGATAAAAAGTAACCTACTTGTAGTTAGCTTTTTTGCGGGATTTCTATAAAATATATAACTTGTGGTGTAGTGGTAAGCAGTGCGCGCTCCCACTCCGCAACGCCTGGGTTCAAACCCTGGTCAAAGCAACATCGCAAAAAATATAGAAAAATAAAATTATAGTTTAAAAACCTAAAACCTCCCTATTATAATTGCCATTCATACTATCATCAGGTATGTAACTTGAGCATAGAAATCGCTGCATCTTTTAGGCGCATCAATATTACATAGTTACATCCCGAGTTCATAAACGGAAGGTAATAATAAAAAGGTTTTTTCTTAACAGCGGTCGTCCCTCGGCAGGCAATGGCAAACCTCCGAGTGTATTTCTGCCATGAAAAACAGCTTCTCATAAAAATACAATCGCCGTTCGGAGTCGGCGTAAAACTGTAGGTCCCTCCGCTCTGTGTGACAACATCAAGGCGCACGCCACAAATGGGAGGAGAAGCTCGGCCAAACACTAACTTATGTGTAAGCGCCAATCTATTATTATTATTATTATTATTATTATTAGTATTATATAACTTGTAGTTAGCTACAAAAAGCTAGCTTGAAACAAGTGGACAAGTAATGCAGGAGTAAAGCTCGAGATTGTTTTCTTTAAACGGGTTTCTATTTAAATATCCTGCACTTCGCAAATACTTTTTCGAATTGAGGACAAATAAAAGCAAGAATATTATCATTTTCAAGTTATGTCTGACGGAGTTCGAATATGGGACACCTACAGCAGAATATTTAAACAAATATGAAATGTGATAAAATAAATAAATAAAAAAAAAAACAAAAAATATAAAAAAATATGTTGTTTTTCCTATTGATATTTTATGCCCAAAAGTAGTTAGTTACAAGCTGGTTACATCAAATGCAGAGGTAACCAACCTTGACTACATCTAATGCAGAGCTAACCACCCTTGACTATTTCGCGGCCATCGCCATAGAAATATAGTTAGCTTTCGTCAATAAAATTATACAGATAATAAGTGAATTATAGGTCCTTCCTAATCAACTTAAAGTTAGCTTATAGTTAGATACATTTCCTGCAAGGTACGCATAATATCGGTATTTTCTCATATGCATTATTCCGGTTTTCAACCGAAACTCTGCATGTATGCATTACTTCGGGTTTTTCATATGCATTATTTCGGTTTCCAACCGAAACTGTGCATACATGCATAATTTCGGGTTTTGTTATATGCATTATTTCGGTTATCAAACGAAACTGTGCATGTATGCATTCCTTCGTCTTTCACATATGCATTATTTCGGTTTCCATCCGAAACTGTGCAAGTATGCATTACTTCGTCTTTCAAATATGCATTATTTCGGTTTTGAACAGAAATTGTGCATGCATGCATTATATCGGTTTTTGTTATATGCATTATTTCGGTTTTCTAACGGAAGTGTGCATATGGATAATTTCGTTTTTTTCCAATATTAATTACATATTTACCTCTACTTAGTAAGGGTTTTAATCCCTAAGCGCGGTCGAAGGCCGCCTACGCAGAGAGAAGTTCTGCGCAAATATACTTCCGGTCGCCTTTTCCGGCAATACAAAAAGGAGAGTTCTACTCAGTAAGGGATATAGTTCCTAAGCGCGGCCGAAGGCCGCCTACGCAGAGAGAAGTTCAGCGCAAAAGTACTTCCGGTCCCCGTTTCCGGCAACACAGAAAAGAAAATTCTACTTAGTAAGGGTTATAATACCTAAGCGCGGCCGAAGACCGCCTACGCAGAAAGAAGCTCTGCGCAAAAATACTTCCGCCCCTCGTTTCTGGCAACACAGAAAGCAGAGTTCTTTTTAGTAAGGTTTATAATCCCTAAGCGCGGCCGAAGGCCGCCTACGCAGAAAGAGTTTCAGCGCAAAAATACTTCCGGTCCCCTTTTCCGGCAACACAGAAAGGAGAATTGTACTCAGTAAGGGATATAGTCCCTAAACGCGGCCTAAGGCCGCCTACGCAGAAAGAAGTTCTGGGCAAAAATACTTCCGCCCTTCGTTTCCGGCAACACAGGAAGGAGAGTTCTACTTAGTAAGGGTTATAATCCCTAAGCGCGGCCGAAGGCCGCCTACGCAGAAAGAAGTTCGTTTTCATGGATGCACTATTTCGTTTTTTGTCATATGCATTATTTCGGTTTAGAGTCGAAACTGTGCATGTATGCATTACTTCGTTTTTGTCATATGCGTTATTTCGGTTTTCAAACGAAAGTGTGCATATATGCATTATTTCGGTTTTTTCATATGCGTTATTTCGGTTTTCAACCGAAACTGTGCATATATGCATTATTTCGGTTATTTTTCAAACAAAACTGTGCATATATGCATTATTTCGGTTTTTTTCGTATGCATTATTTCGGTTTTTTCATATGCATTATTTCGTATGCAAAGTTTCCATATGCACAATTTCAGGGTGCCCTTAAATTTCTATCTGCTTTTATTTAGTTTTGTTTTATTTGATTTACTTTATCTTATTATATTTTAACAAAATACTTTTTTTTTTAATTCGCTAGAATGAATAAAATAGACTAGTCAATTCAATAAGACCAAGTTCGATCCCTGGGCCAGATCACCCCCAAAAATTGTGGAACAATTTTTTTAATACATCTTTTTTTGTTTTATGTAAGCAATTTGTTTCTTTTATGGTAAGTTTTTATTTTACCAAATATATTTTAAAATACAAATTTACTTAATTAAAGAAAATAGACTAGTCAACTCAATACGACCTAGGCTCGACGCAGACAACGCTTGCAAAACAGAAACGACTTATTTTATTTTGATTTGTTTTATTTTATTTCCCTTTATTTTAGTTTATTAATTTTAATTTTATTTCTTTGTTTTTATTTTACTCCAATTCAATTCTATTTAATTTTATTTTGTATATTATTTAAATTTACTTGAATTCTTATAAAACAGGTCCTGAAAGAAATGTATCAATTTTTCAAACTTCAAATTTATATTTGGTTTTTTTTTGTTGACAACATGATCCAGATATTTACAAAATTTAATATCACAATTAATTTTGTTCTATTAGTGCAAATTTGATTTAACTGTCCATTGTTTTACACAGGATTTATATTGCATCTGCTGCTACTCGCTGTTGTTGTTGCTTTTGCCGTTGCCGTTTCTGTTTATTGTTTACTGTTTTACTTCTATTCCTGATGCACGTGTGTTGTTGTTGTGGCTATGACTGTGGTTGTTGTTGTGGCTATGACTGTGGTTGTTGTCGTGCCTAAACAGCAGTCTCGGTGTGACTATGCGACGAGAGTCGCTCCACATCGATCTCGGGTATCGTCAGCTCATCTGGAATATTATCAGCATATTCTATGGATGAAGTTTCTGAGAGTCGTTTACTTAACGATGTTTGCTTGCGCAACACTTCAGCTAAAGATGTGTTAGTGTGCTCTCCATATCGCCCATCGAGTCCTTGTCGAAAAGCGTTGACCACACGAATCTAATTTTGCCAGATAAATAGAAAACAAAAATAAAACAGTGTATGAAAGGTAAAAAAATTAAAGAGAGAGAGAGAAAAAATGACAGATGGTGTTGATGTTTGTTGATTGGTGGTTGGTGTTTGTGCGATCGGACGAATTGTTGATTGGTCGGTCGTTTGGCGGCAGTGGGCACAGGTAATTGGCATCATTGGACATGAAGAACAGGCACACACACGTAGGTGATACAGATGGAAGATTTAGAGCGAACAGAGAGACAACAGATGACAGAAGAAGACGTTAGACATATGTACCAAAACGAGTAAAGTCGCAAACATCATCGTGGTCATGATCAAGAGCGTGGGCGTGGGCGGACGAAAAACGACCACAGTCATCGAACGAGAGGAGTTGTTGATTGATACAGGTTGTGTGCGGAGAGAAAAAGATAAGACACAAATAGAAATGGCATGTGTTGTACAGTTATAAAAAATTATTGTCGTAAGGAAAAATATATTGACATATTAAACATAAAAAACAAAACGAAAAATAAACCACAAAGCCACATTTAAAACGCAAAACAAAAAAATTATAAGTACGCAAATTTGTTATAAAAAAAAAACATTTTAAGTTTCACATTAAATTTATGCAAATAAATATTTAACGTAGAATGAGACACGAATGAAAGTGAACTTAATGTAAAGAAACAGTAATAAATCGTAATCATTTAGAAGCAAAATGATAGCAAAAAGCAATTTTATTTTGTTAATTAAAATTTTTTGTTTGTTATTTTTATTATTGTAAAGTTCGTTTATTCATGCGGTTAAAGGAAATTTCGGTAAAGCAAAAATTAGTTGTTCATATATGCGGTGAGTAACAACAAAAAACACAAGAGAACATCAAATATATGTATTTCATTTTTAATGCCGAAATAACAACAGAAAACCACATGCACATGCGGGCAAACCACAGAAAACGCCCATAAACACATACGTATTTTACATACACATCCATAGATCAATATATAACCAATACATAAGGACATAGTGTGAATTGCAAATGTGGTTGTAGTACCACGGGAATACGTATGTATATGTATGTATAGTGAGAAAATAGCGGGGTTATGAATGTTCATAGACCGTGGTAATGTTAAGATGCACAAGTAGAAGGTGTACAACAAACAGCACCACAAAAAAATTGTAAGAAAAATGTAAAGAGTGGAAGAGTAAAAAACAAATAAAAAATATTTCACACATTAGTATTTTTATAACTTTGCACATTTATGAAAAAATAACAGTTATGTACTGAAAAAATTTTAAAACCAGGGACCGCAAATAATGATTGTCACTCAAATTTCAGTCATACTGAAAGAAATTGGTTGCAGACATAAACAGTACACTTTATTATTGAAATGTAATAATTGTTGCACATACTATCCTTAGCAGCATACATATGTAGTTAATTAGTTTTTGACTATATTAAAAAATTCAGATAGGAAATGTAATTTTTTTAAACTTGTTTTCTTTCCTTAAGCTAAGATCCTATCATCAGCGCAATGGGCCGATTTTCGGCGCATTTCATGTACCGATGGTAAGGACAAACACAATTTTTCAAAATTCGGAAATCTTAGCCGAAATGGTGCTGAATATAAACAACCAAAATGAATATTGCTGTACCGATAATGTGAACACTCTTTTGCTTATTGTATGGCAATGAAATTATAAAAAATGCGGTGATTTTTACCGATCGCTCATGCGCCGATCAAAGTCGACAATGTGTTTATTGTTATTATCAAGGAACGGATTTTATGGAAATTTTTTTTTTTTTTCTGCTGAAGAGATAGAGTATATTCGACAAGGAATGTCCACGATTTAGCTTTCCCTGATTCCACAAATACACATTTGATGTTGCCTTTTTTGCCTTTTTTAAGATATTTGCCTTTTTTAAGATATTTGCCTTTTTATGCCTGTTGTACCTCTAAAAAAGTATTATTCCTGATAAAAAAAGTTTCAAACGTTACATATTTAAATTGGGCGCCACTTATATCAACTCACGTCGAGCGAACGTTTATTACATTCAAGGCTGTGATAAAGCCTGTTCTGTTACTAAAAAATCAAGTTGATAATGAAGAAAATCGACGCATAAATAAAGAAGTAATAAGTGGTCATATGAAAATGTGCAAAGATTTTTTGTATGAAAAATGAGCAGGAAAGGATGTCACACGCCATGTAAAATATCTCGAAATCTTATCGACAGGATAAAAAACTAACTCGATTTTCGGAATCAGCGAGCAATTCTAAATAGGAATTGGATAAGTACATAGTGGCGTCCGTTGAACACATTTCTGTAGACCAGTGTTATTTTTAATTTTTTGTCGTTTTTAATGAATTCTTTTGCCTTTTCTGCTATTTTTAATGCCTTTTTCTGCCTATTTCGCTATTTTATTTTGCCTTTCCCAGCCTATTTCGTTATTTTATTTTGCCTTTTTTAAAGGTTTTTAGGTCCTAAAAATCCGTTCCCTGTTTATTATTAATTAAGCACGATAGCGTGGTCATGTTGTACCGATTAATTTGGCCGATATGCACCAAAAAGGATTGTCACAATATGCGATGTTAATAGGACCACTCAAAAAGTAGTTGTACAATTTTTTAATAAGTAGCAATCAAGCACGATGAAAATCTGTACATATTGTGCCGTTTGCGCCGGTAGTGGGATCCCAGATATAGAAAATAGTATTTTCAAAAAACGTTTTTGCCAAATCACATTGAACAGGTAGTATCAGTAGAGCAGCTGATTTGATTTTTTTTATGATTTGATCTCTAAAATGTCAAATATATTTTTAATTTTTCTTTACGCAAATTATAAATTGTCAAAATCGTTTTGCATGTGAAACCTTTGCCCATACAAAACATGCGATTGAAGAGTAACTTTTGGAACGTTCACCTACCTCAGCAGCACAAACGCTGATTACCGGGCCTTGTTTTTTTTTTTTGTATTTCACATGGCTCACTTTGATTTACAAGAAACAAATCAGAACAGTTTTTGACACTTTAAATACCAGAAGCAACAACAAAATTCGCGTAAATTTTGTGTTTGCTCTAATGCTATTACCTGTTTGATATGCCTTGGCTTTTGCTTTTTTTTGCTTACTTACTCAGAGTTTTTAGTTGTATGTTTGCTTTTCATTCTCTCAGCAAAACAATACAAAAAATAATTTTTATTTCTAGGAAAAAAATTACACTAAAAAATAGTTTTAAGTTTCTGACCGAAGTAATTGGCACCTTTTGAGCTTAATTTTTTGTTAGGAAAGTGTAGTTTTTGTATTTTTTTGCTTAGAAAATTAAAAGCGAAATTTAAGTTCCTCTTTTTGATTGTAAATAATTGTAATTTTATTTTATTTTTACTCAGAGTTTTACAAAAGTCGATTTTTTTGCTTGTATGTAGCAAAAAATATAATTAACAAGTAATGTTTAGCAAAAAAAACGACTTAGAAAAAAAAAAAATATATATATCGTCGTTTAAAGTACAAAACCGCGTATCACGATAATGCAAAACCGCGTATGTAAGGTCACCAAGATTTTACCGGAGAGAGTAAAAATATATGCTACTCTTGATCAGCGGTATAACAACTATGCTGTTATTTTGCAGTACATGGTCTAATATCGATATATTGGTATGAATAGATAAGGCATTATACTTGGAGCTTCCTACGAGCAAATCTAATTTTTGGCACAAATGTTAGTTACGCGGTTTTGCAAAACGACGTTATGCGGTTTTGCACTTTAAACGACGATATATATACATATATTTCATGATCCATCCAATGATCGGATCTAAACCAGATTAGTATGGGACCACCTCTGAGATAGTACCTTTCCGATGCAAAAAGAATTCTCGAAATCAGTTGACGTGGTTATGCAAAGTTATGCGTTAACATACATAAAAAAAAAGTATTTCGACGATCTGATAACCTCCTCCGTTTTTGGAAGTCGGTTAAAAATAGCTTACATTCTGGGCAATACATAAATTTTTACGAATAATATTTATTTTCTGATCAATGAAACTTAAAAACTAGTTATTAAAAAATAGTTTTCCAAATAAAATTTTAATATGTTCGGTCCCTGTATAAAACACTATTTTATATACATACATATACATATGTACAAACTGATATTTGTGTATAGCAAAAAAAATCGACAGCAAATGAAAACATATAATAGTCTTAGACGAGTATGTAAATATGTATATACCAAGGATGCATTGTAACGTTAATTTTAGCGTTTACCAAAAAAAAAATCAATCGTTTCTGTTGAAACGATTCAGTTTTTTTATCGTCTAGGTAATTATCAAAATAATTCTATTTTGGTTTTTAACGAAAAGAATTTCAATCGTTAATGCTGGAGTTGTAGCATGCATTTAGGTGCTAGGTGTTAATAGTGAGCTGACAATGGCATACAACAACTTTTCGTTGATTTATTTTGTTTCGATGTTAACGATTGGTGATTTAATTCATTTCAACGTTAACGATTGAGTTTTGTTTCGTTAATTTAGCTCTGAAACGAAACAAAAGTATTTTGATAAGCTATTTTTGCACATCAACAAAACGAAATCGATTCATATAGTTTGTTGAGCATCTCTGGTATATACATATCGTTACCTTAATATAGAAAGGCCCTGACCCATTTTCTTTCAAAATCCGTTTTCGTACAAAACTATGTAGATTACCCAGTAAAAAGTATTTCTGAATTTGAAAGCAACTGTTATAGTATTAAATTAGTTGCGTATCGTTGAAAAAGCGTCTAAAAGAAAAGAAGGAAGTTCTATACCAAGGTAGCGATAAGTATGAGGTGCGTACATACATACATACAAATCTTTATTTAATTTTAATATCCATACTATTTACATAGTCCAAATAAACATACATATCTATTATACATGTGTATATCAGTGGCAAACACACCCACACTAATACATATTGCGAAGTGTGTGGCAGCGCAGTCCTATTGGTTTCCCTGTAAACCATTTT